ATTTTGAATTATGTTTTCTAGGCCTTTTTTCTCAGTGATTATATTTAGACAGAAATGGGGGGGCTGGGGATTTAGCTCCGTGGTTTCGCCGCCTGCTGCGCAAGCGCAAGGAAGTGAGTTCAATCCCTGGTACCAAAAACAAAAAACAAACAAAAAAAACCAAATAAAAGATAAAAGAAATGGGGGTTATGGTGGAGGGCCCAGCACTTGGGACATTTGAATCATTCCTGGTTCTTCTAGCTGCACAGAGAAAGACCTGCTCCTTTAAAATCAGGACTCTTACACCCTGAGTGATTCCTTCAAAGGACAGAGCTTTTCCCAGTTTTACCCATTAATCTAGAAAGTTAGTGTATAAAACCTTCTACCCATATTAAAAACAAACCTCAAACTGGGCGTGGTGGTGCATGCCTGTAATTCCAGCACTCAGGAGGCAGAGGCAGGAGGATCGCTACAAGTTTAAGGCCAGCCTGGGCTACACAGCGAGACCCTGTCTCGGAAAACCAAACAAAATGAACAAACAACTTCATGTTCCAAAACTCAGGAGTCAGACAAGCAGCTCAGGCAGGTGTGGGTGTGGCTGATGGGTCTGGGGACAGCAGAAAAGACAGGGCTTCTGTAGCTGGAGGGTGAAGGACCTGCTGAACAGCCCTAATCCTGAGCGTCACCCCCTTCCTTGTGAGTGACCCCGAGATTTCTACTCTCCTCAGCCAACAAGGACTCAAGAGCACCAGACATGGCTCCCTTGGAAGCCCTCCATTCCAGCCAGTGAAGAAACCGAGCCCCAGGAACACAGCGGAGGTACCCTAAAGTCACAGCACCAGTAATGGCAGAGCCAGGCTACAGCACTGCGTCTCTGCCTCCTCCCTGCCCTCTCCTGGGTCTTCCCACTCTACTTGAAAGGACACTTGGTTTCACTGTGAGCAACCTCTGATGTGACCTTTTAAGAACCTTTCACATAGGAACAATCCAAGAGGAAGAGATGACAATCCTAAATATATATGCACCAAATACAAATGCCCCCAACTATACAAAACAAATATTTGTTTTTCTGTTTGGTACCGGGGCTTGAACTCAGGTCCTTGCGCTTGCGCAGCAGGCGGTGAAACCACTGAGCTAAATCCCCAGCCCAACAAAACATTAATGGACATGAAAAACCAAATAAGCACTAATACAATTGTAGTGGGGGACCTCAACACCCCTCTATCACAAACAGATCAACTAGGAAAAAAATTAACAATGAAATTCTAGAACTAAACGAAGTTATTGCACAAATGGACTTAATAGATGTTTACAGAGTGTTC